TAGTAGTAGTAGTAGTAGTAGTAGTAGTAGTAGTAGTAGTAGTAGTAGTAGTAGTAGTAGTAGTAGTAGTAGTAGTAGTAGTAGTAGTAGTAGTAGTAGTAGTAGTAGTAGTAGTAGTAGTAGTAGTAGTAGTAGTAGTAGTAGTAGTACTAATAATAATAATAATAATAATAATAATAATAATAATAATAAAGAAAAAGAAGGAGAAGAAGAAGAAGAAGATGAGAACTTTGAGATGGAATATTAATGTAACGATTAAACAATGATAATAACAAATGTCAAGGTTAGAGGTTCCACTAATGGTATATCAAACAAGTATAGTATAAACTCTTATTATTGAATTGGAAACCACACACAAAGGAGGTTCCAATCAGATTATATATTGTTAACATGATTACATTAGTCATCTTATTCAATTAATGCTAATACTTGTAAATCTCGTCAAGCATTCATGATTATAACTTATGTTAACAATAAATCAAGTTCCTTTCATAGCTCAGGTGTCGGTTATACCATACATTATGGGCTATGAAAGTGCCAAGCATTTGTTGTACCAAGTGTTATACAACATAAATCAAGATTAGTCATTTAACAAGCAAAGTATTAAAGAGTGAACAAGATAACAAATATAAAACATGTTAGTATCAAACATTAAAGTCCATATTAAGTTTACATTATACTTATTCTTACACCATTAGTGTAACCTTTTCACCTTGACATAATTAACTTAGCTAGACATAATGAAAGAAAGCAAAATAGATAAACAAAATAAGAACATAAAAGTTAACTAAGTAAAGGAAAGGAAATGAAAGGCATAAACTTAATATTAATGAAAACAAAGCATAAAAAATACAAAGAGAGAAAGGAAGAGCATGATCTTGATCTGGAAACCAAGATGCCTAAATGCATGGCAAATGCCTCCTTTTATAGGCCAAAATTAGGAACTATTGATTTGATGACTAATTGATAAGTGGGTGGCCAACTTTTGACTTGGTGACAATCTTTATCTTCTCTTGTCTGCCCAAAACGTCATTGATAACGTCAAAATTGGAGCCAGTTGCAAACATGAAAGTTGTAGGCAATTGTCTCAGCTTTCTTGTGTAAAACATTCAGCTCATTTGGACTTCTAGAACTCCAGATATGGCCAAAATACCGAACAGTGCTCGGGCTGGAAGACAGATTCGGGCTTCTTTGTTGTTGCTATAATTTGGACTTGATAATGGCCTTTTTAGATCTTGGGCTCCATATGAAAGTTGTAGGCCTATGTCTTACCTTTCCATCCATATAAATTGGACCTAAATCTGAGATATATAGCTCTAGATATGACCCAATTACCGAACAGTGTTCCGGTTTGGATTGCACCGACATCTCTTTTCTAAGTTTGACCATCTCTTTGCCTTTGCAATTTAAGTTCTTAAAGTCATCAATTAATCCTTTCATTTATGTGATAGGCCTGCATTTAAAATGAATATTTACCATAAATTAAAGGTATCTTATATTATTAGATATATTATTATAAAACATGCTTTAGTTAAGGAGTTATTGATACTTCAAGTGCAAAATGATGATATAAAACCATGATAAAAATGCACTTTTAAGTACTAATCACCTAGGGTGATGAATCTTCTCTTGATCATTCAAGTACCTTCATATAGTTCATTCTATATCTAATGTGTACTCTTTCATTTCCTCGATTAAGATAATATGTGACAAGATCAAAGCATAACATTCTCTATATAAGATAACTTAATGATCTTAAGTTTAAGGATTGCTTACATAACTGTCACGTGAGCCTTTCCATAGACATAGATGATTTCTCCATATGAAACTCTCATATGGATTAGTTTAGTGCACATGTTTTATGACAAATACCTACATATTAGTTTTAGGTATTCCTTATACCTCGACTTATAAAAACAATTGCTTCCTTACATAAATGTAAGAACATAATATGTACCAATCTCTATGGCTCTAATAAATGTTCAATATTTAAGAGAGTATCGACCATCAATATTTTAGGAACAATACTTTGATGCAATATGAATCTTATAATTATAACAACTTTATAATTTCCTTTGCAAATATTTTTGTCTCATGAACTTTATCATTACTCTAGATTTATAAATCAAATATTAGATTCATTAATCTAATATTATATAAATATTAAAGATAAATTAAGCCTTTATTAATAATAAATATGTATTTACATGAATTTAATAATGTCACATGTAACCAATCGATTGGTTACAAGACATATTAAACTAATAAATAACTCAGCATCTCTAGTCTTAGCCAAGCACTGAGCCTAGGCATTTATAGGTTTGACGAATTGTTTGATCCACCATCTCTGGGCTCAACCAAGCGCTAAGCCTAGGCATAAATAGGTTCAGCGAGCTACCTAACCCATCATCCCTAATGAGTCATAGATATCTTACTTATACTTTAGTTGTTTCCTTTTAAAAAAGAGACAAACCACATAAGCTATAAAAGAGACTACGAAAATCAAATTGCATTTCAATTGGTTTTGATTTTTGGAGATCAAATTCATCACAATCAAAACTAACTAACCAACTACTAAATAATTATCTGACTCATATTTAATATGATCTTACAAGCCATATTCAACATTCCTCACTCATGTACCTATAACTCGAATCAATATAACAATGAAAATCCAATAGATTTTGCAATTGACAATGCACCAAAACTCCCCTGACTTACACACATGCATCATATGTTTAACTAACTCTTATTGGCAATATTAGAACTCACACATGGTCTATAAGTATTGATATTTATCCTATCAAACCTTTTAAAACTGTCACCAAATTTAACCCTATTTTTTATTTTACCAATTCTTAAGTCCCTCCCAAAGTTATTAGATCCCTGACCCATGATTTGGGTTACGAGTTGAGTGAGTTAACTCAGGTTGATTCAGGTCAATTCAAAATAATGTTGTTTCAAGATTTTTTTAAAAGGTTAAAATATCATCATTTAAATATTTTTCTTAAAAAAATTCAAATCAAATTTTAACCAGATTGCGAGTTGACCTACTAAATTGACTAAGTCACCAAATAAACCTCCATTCAATTTATTTTAAAATCTAATATGATTCAAGGGTCGACATTGGTCCTCCATCTACTTATAAATATAAACATAACAAAAGTTGTAGTATTCATCCAATCCATTTAAGTATGATGGAGAGACTTATTTTAACCTATTTTAATTCAATCCTCAGATAAAAATATCTTAATTTTAGTTATATAATTTTGAAAATTTCCTATGCTTTCATTAATAGGAAATGAAAGTTGATGGAAAACCATCTTCAAATATTTAATTTCAAAATTTATTTTCTCTCGATCTTTCCTCTAGAAAACCTTCTCAAATATGTGAAGATATCCTATAGCAATTTTTAAAAATTGAAATTGCACTTCATCGTTAGATTTGGCTCGTTATTCAACTATTATGGGGGTCATATTGAAGTTTTTTTGAAACTACAGATTTGACATTGAGAAATTTAACTTATAAGAGTTAATTTACACTAATGAGCTGTTTTGCAGGATATGGACCCTATATATATATATATATATAGACACACACACGAATTAAAATTGATAACAAAGTTCAATTTGACCCAAAAACAATATAGATATTAATGATGATGAAGTATTAAAACTTAAAGGACCATATTTGATTTTCACAATCATACAATAGTTATAGAATTGGGATTGGCTCAATAGGCACTAACCCGACCAGTTCAAGTTGAGAAGAATAAATAAAAAAAACTAAATTCTCAACTTGTAAATTATTTTTTTTAATAAAAAAATTTATTTTTAATAAAAATAATATTATTTTAATTTTATAAAAATTAAAAAATTAATTCTGATTAATCATCCTAAGACGGGCTTTGTCTCGAGTTAACCCTGGAGTAACTATGCATCGTGCAAAAAAGCCAAAGCTACTAGCATCACGTTCTCTGCCCTGTCTCCCTTTGACGGCTCTAATAAAAAAGCTCCGTCTCAGCTTCGCGCTTTTTTTTTTTTTCGTTTTTTTTTTAGAAAAACCCTAATTTCCACTCACTCACTGAATCACTGTACCTTACTGACCTCCTCTCCTCAAATTGAATTAAACAAAACCAAAAAAAAAAAAATATCGACGTCTCCGAGTTTTGAGAGGTTTCAGCAATGGAGATTCAAAAGCAAAGCAAACAGCAACAAGAGTTTGCTTTAGCATCAATGAATGAGCTCGCTTCTTCTTCTTCTTCGTCGTCGTTTTGTTCAGATTCTCAATCTGTACCGGTAACTGCTAGGTTTAGGGCTGACAATGGAGTTGTGGAGCTTCGATTTAACCGAGAGTCTGAATCGGCTGATTCTATCATTGTTGATGCCAAAACTGCTCTGGTCAGTGATTCTTATTTTCATTTTTGAATTTGATTTTTTTTTGTTTGGTTGCCGAGAAAGCGTGCAAGATGGTAATGTAAGATATGGAATGTGTGGTTGATAATATTTTTAATCAGGTTTAGAAATTGGAATGTATAAGATATGCATTTTGTGTATCGGGGTTTAATTGCTGGTTTTGTTTTATTTTTTGGCAATTGAATCGATCAATGAGAGTATTGTTTATTTTTTATTTTCTTAAGTACGGCAATGTTGTTGATAATTGGTAGATATCCTAAAGGAATGTATTAATTGATGAGCTAAGTATGCGGAATTAGAGTTAATTTTTGGTTATTTTGTAAAACTTGGGGAATTATTTTGATTAGATCATCATATACGAGTAATGAAGATGATTTGTTTTGTTTTGTTTTGTTTTGTTCAGTTATTCAAGCTAGGGGCTTTACAATCAGTTTGCATAACCAAAGTGTCAGGTGCTGACACGGGCAAAGAGGTAGGGAGTTTTATTTTTGTTCAGATTATGTAGTTCCTTTTTCTTTCCATCGTAGTGCATACAGTGAAAAGGGACCCGTTCAAGGTTTTATATTAAGAAACAATTTTTACATTCCTATCTTATTTCACTTGCTGAGATAGTGGGGTTACTTGGAACTCCTCTTACGTGGTTTTACATGAGTCATGAGATATGCAAATTGCAATATGGCAATACTCACATGCGAAGAGTTATTTTCCTATGCATTTGACTGTTGATTGGTATTGCATGATTGATGAAGCTTTTATGTTCATAATGTTAACAGTATTACTTTTTACCAGAAATATTCAACAGGAGTCAATGTCCAATTTAGAAATGAGGAGGAGAGCAGGGCCTTCCATTGTGCATTTGAACAATGGAAGAAGGAAGTCACTGTTCAAGGTGCTGTTTTGGAAATTTTGTCATGGTTTATTATAGATAGTTATCTGTTATAACACGGAGATTCCCCTTTGTCACCTTTCCTGATTTTTTCTCTAGAAGTTCATGTCTTTTGACTGCATTGCTTCAATAGTGGTTTCTAGAAGTTTGCCCATAAATGCATACGTAATCATGGAAGTTGGAACCCCAAGATGAATTAAAATTATTCTTGTCGCATTAGCCATACATGTACAACTATATCCATATGAGGAAGAACTTAACTTTTGTTGAATGTGAAAATCTTGAAATACTTAGTCCTTTGGAAAACCTTGCCTTTAAAAATGAAAAAAGTAAAGTCCTTTTTTCCACTTTATGTCTAGATTAGGACTTGTATTTGACTTTCCTTCATCTAGCTTTTTGAAAGTTTTCTCCAAGAAAAATTTAACAGACAAAGAACTCTTTGTTAACTGCTCTTATGTTTTGTGAAGTTGTCAAAACATGTTTAATCCATAAGCACCTGCAATTGGCTCCTGACATTTACGTATTTCCTTTTCCAGGAACATTGCTAACTGATGGAGCAGTCACAGCTTGTAAAAGCAAGTTTGATGATAAAATAGAACCATCATCTGCCAAAATGTATTTCCATTACTATGGGCAATTGCTACATCAGCAAAACATGCTACAAGATTATGTGAGGACAGGTTAATCACTAACCATTATGTCACTCCTTTTGATCTTATCATAGATGTTTGCTTTCAATTTCTTAAGCTTTACAAAGCCTATCAAATCAGAATGTTCTCTAATTTGCTGCATGTGCTCAAAATGTCAAGTACATCTATAATGGACACGTGATTTGAGTCAGATGGTGAGTGACAATGATAAGCAAAAAATTTATGTTCCAGGAACCTATTATGCTGCAGTCATTGAGAATCGTGCAGATTTTTTTGGTCGTGTGGTGGTTGATGTTGGTGCTGGTAGTGGTATTTTGTCTTTTTTTGCTGCTCAGGTATATTTGTATTTTGACTAGTTGAATTTATCATGCAATGTGTAAGAATCTTGCTGTACTTCTGTAAGCTGATCATGGGTTCCTTTGCTCCAATCAGGCTGGTGCAAAGCATGTCTATGCTGTGGAAGCATCTGAAATGGCAGAGTATGCCCGGAAACTGATTGCTGGAAACCCATCGCTTGGGGAAAAGATAACAGTGAGACTTTGCTATTTCATGTACTTTAAATTTTTTTTTTAAATTCCATTTGTTTATCTCATTTTGAATAAGTCAATATGTCATGTGAATGTAGGTAATAAAGGGTAAAGTTGAGGAAGTTGAATTGCCAGAGAAAGCAGATATTTTGATCTCTGAACCAATGGGTAAACTTATAAATCATCTTTACTATGCCATCTCATTGGATGATGAAATTTTCTAATAATGTCGAACACCTTTTTTTCATCAATAGATTTTTCCTTGCTATTTATTTTAACCCCTGAATGCCCCTTCTCCTGCTGGCATGGAGGATGAGTTTTTCTACCATAAGATTAGAAAGTATCCAGGATTGAATGAATTGACAGATAATATTCCATGTCATTGTGGATAGCAAGTTCAGATTTTTATTTTTCGTGACTCTTTATGGGACTTGTCTTGTAGGTACCTTGTTAGTCAATGAAAGAATGTTGGAGTCCTATGTGATTGCAAGAGATAGGTTTCTTGTTCCAAATGGAAAAATGTTTCCTACAGTTGGAAGGTAAATGGTGACTCATCAATGCTCCATTTCTACTTGATTTCTTAGATCTTAAATGTATTTCTGCATAAGCATACATGACACCTACATGAGCATGGTAGTCGTGATCCTACTGCAAAGTTTGATTGTTTTCATTCAATTGCTAGATAACTTCCTAGTGGGAAGTAACCTCATGATTATGGTGGTATGTATCTTCATCTAGATCCTGCTCGTTTCACGTAAAATTTGTAGGTGTAGTCAATTTTTTCATGCTTTCTCCTGATGGTTTCTCATGTCCCTCTTAATTTCCTCATGTGTTGGATAAATTACATTCCCATTTCTCATTTAGTTAAGTGATCGCACCATCTAGTCAGCTCTTTTGACCCTTTCTTCCCCTTATACTTCGTTTCTTGTAAAGCCTTTGGCAATGTTGGGATCTTTCTTTCTTATTGGAGACAGACTTGTAATGTATGCTTGTTGATAGCACCAGCATTCCGTGACATTATTGTTTCTGAAAAAAAATTATAAATCTGTGCATAACTGCATGTGTTTTGTTTATTTTCTTGAGTAATTTACTCTTGGTGGTCAATGCATAATTTTGTATCTTTATGCATGTATTCTCTTGTGCTCCAGAATCCAGTGCTTGCAATCCCAAATTTAATTTGTCTGCTATTTTAGGTTTTCTTTAGTGAAAATTACTTGCTTTTGCAGGATACACATGGCACCTTTTAGTGATGAATATTTATTTGTTGAAATTGCGAATAAGGTATGAACCCGGATCATTATGCTGAGGTCATTTTATCAATAATGTGATGCAGCCTGTGCACCTCTTTCTAGCTGGGCGACAATCTTAAAGTCATGACTGATTGGTGGATTTTTTAATTTTAATATGCCTAATGTTGCAATTGTAGTCAAGTTTTCCCATTAATATCATGAGTTCTCTTGTTTATACTGTTTCCTATTCTTACCATTAGCATTTGTTGAAACAAATTGTAATTTCTTACCTGTTATTGGTTTTGTCAATGTAGGCCCTCTTTTGGCAGCAACAAGGCTATTACGGGGTTGATCTGACGCCCTTGCATGCATCTGCATTTGGGGGATACTTTTCTCAGGTCTCATTTACTTTCACGTTTCTGGTGTAGATTGAATCATTAAGTTGCATATTGGTTGACTTGCTTAGACATGCTCTCATCTTATTTTTTAAACCAACATATTCATGTCTTTTGTGGAGAAAATACCTTTTTAAGTCGTTACTTCTGATTTTGCAATATGATCACAATCACTTGTGATCTTTTTTTCTGATGGATCCATTCTGCTTACATGCAGCCTGTTGTGGATGCCTTTGATCCTAGATTATTGGTGGCTCCTGCAATTAATCATGTTTTGGACTTTACTGAAATAAAGGTATAGCCTTACCCTTCTTGCTTGTGCAGTTGCACTAGTTGTTAGCTTTTTTATATAATGCCTCATCATGAAGGAAAGTGACTGTTTTTATTGTACTCATTTCCCCAGATACAATTCCTCAGGTTTAGTTGACATCTAGTTTGAACAGTTTCTGCTGCACAGCAACCTCCTGTCTATGCATTTTATAAAGTTATTGCTATAGGCTTTGTTTTCCACCTTAGGGTGCACTGTTGAGACTGTACACCTGAAAGAAGTTTTACTTCGAAAGCTTTTAGATCTTCACTCTTGCTTTATGAGTGACTCTTGTCCCTTTCTCCAAGATGAAGTTACTGCCCTGGCGACATCACTTGGTTCAACTCATCAAAACTTTTCTATTTTCTTCCTGCAGGAAGAGGACTTATATGAAATTGATATACCTTTAAAATTTATAGCCTCTGTAGGAACCAGAGTTCATGGGCTGGCTTGCTGGTTCGATGTGTTATTTAATGGGAGGAAAGTATTTGTCCTGATCTTTTTTACCTTAGGTTAAGTTTGCATTTTACATCTGCATTAGGCCTGCTTTTTACATGTTCGTTATCCCATGCATTTATTGGCTTCATGTGGGAACTGTCTTGATCTGCAGTACTGTACAAAGGTGGCTTAAAACTGCCCCTGGTGCGCCTACCACCCACTGGTACCAATTACGTTGTGTTCTGTCTCAGCCACTCTATGTGGTGGCAGGACAAGAAATTGCTGGGCAGCTCCGGATGGTTGCCCACAATGCTCAGAGTTACACTGTATATTTAACTTTGTCAGGTGATTTTCGTCCTCTCATGTTTTTCGTTCTGATCTGTTTTCTTCTTTTTCTAACAAGTTTTGATGAAATCAAATAGCTAAAATGTGGGGCCCCGGTGCTGAGCAAGGAGGAATACTTCAGACATCATCTTGCAAACTCGAACTAAAAGAGCCATATTACAGAATGTCCCAACCACAAACTTATGCAATGGCACAAGATCAGCAATCACACCAGCCAATACACGCACAGGTAATGACTAATTATGTCATCAGCTTTAATCTTTATGATCAATTGGTTAGGTGAAGAAAATCTGAACATTGATTTATCAATAATAAAAAACTTGATGCTCCAAATCCATGAATTTACGCACCTCAGGTTACTATCTCTTGTCTTCCAATGCTTGTGTGCCTTTGTGAAGGTACCGGTATGTGAAAGGTGAACACCAGAAGGCGTTTTCATTTCTATGTGAATTGTATATAATTTTAGCCTCCTTTTGGGGTAAAGTTTTGGGATTTAGGCTCGAAGTCCACTAAAGGGTATTCTATTTTGGCCTGCTATGACGCAAATGCCGTGTGTTGTATTATTTGACGTCATAGGACTTTGTCCCATATAATACTTGAACAAATGACAACCCAGGTCTGACAGTTCCCAAACTAGGCCGTATGCCGTATGCAGCATTTTGGTATAATTTGATGGTTATGAGCCAATACAATATTCATTTGCAGCAAGTAGTATGATAAGAATTAGAAGAGATGATTTAAAGAACAGCTTGCCACAACTGGTCTTTTCACAGGACACACACATTCAGGCAGATGATTTAAAGGAGCCTGAGTTGATGCAACCGCCGCCCCAGAATTTGGATGCCCAGGTCCAATGAGCTATTGGCGGAGTCTTTACAGGCGTGTGACAGTTTTTAACGTGGCATATGTTTGTAACATGTAATTCCTTCACCCATGCAAGGGTTCTTTTTTTTTTAATTGAACTCCTGTTCACCTGCCCCGCATTCAGTTCCCTTGTAAATTAGATGAAACTTGAGCTTGCCATTTATATTGTTTTCGGTGGTGGCTGTGCTGTGTACCGTTTATGTATTAAAATAATAATTTTTTATTTTAAAAAATTACTTTTAATATTAGGGAAAACATAAAAACATATTAATTTAGAATAAAAAATTTAAATTTTTTCAAAAATATTTTTAAAATATAAAAATATGTTGAGTTATAAATAGCAAAATCCATTTGGATTTGTGCCACAAAATACAAGATGGTGCCGGTCAATCAGTTGATTGGGTGTAATCAACCATCATTTCATCGAGAATCATATTTATTATACAGGCAACCATGATGAAACAAGCCTCGTCATTGTAAAATATATTTGACACCCTGTTGCATGATGCTCCACATAACAGAGGGGAAAGTTCCTGCGAAAACTGATTTCTGCTACTCTACTCGCTCAGGCCGCTGGTTCTTCAGGCTTGGATAAGAAGGCAGAAATCCTTATGGGAAGCATGCCTTCTGATCAGGCATACGGAAAGCAGTGTTGCAATCAAGTCAAGAAGTCACCGCTCGGTAGCAGGTGGAATAAGATATTCCCGGCTACCGCCTCAAAGCTGCTAAAAGGTAAACCTCAAATATTTGACTTCGGTAACAGCAAACTTTACACGGCAGAAATGCTTTGCTTTTAAACATGAACATGGCAAAAAATTGGAGAAGCCTATCTGCAATATGCGGACGGCAAACACTGAGCTGACAATTATCAACTGATATTTGTTGTTTCGCCACAGGAATACAATTTCTGTAATTTCCTCTTGAGTCCAAGCCTAGGGTTTTTCCCAATCCGTTCGTTCTCTATGGCAAATTATAAAAATAATCTGCTAAGGTATGATGTTCAAGATAAATTCCCAATTTCAAAGTGCTCAATAAATATAGCTAGCGAGGATAAAAGTAAATGGAATTTGATGAACACCACAAGCTTTCCTTGTCCTTTCCGTCCAGTATGATACTGCACACATCATTATTTGTTGATTGTGCAACAAAATCTGCAATTGACTTTCCAACTTGATCTGTCAAAACTGTGATTTCTGAACTTGATTATCAAAATTTTGAAGAGCATTAGCCAGCTCAACTGCACTGAAAGATTATACAGGTCAGATGTTCTAGATGTTGGGAATTTCAACCGGTGATGTTCTGATTCAGATGTTCTAGATTCACTGCGACTGGATTTATGCAGTCAAGCTTCTCTTAATTTGTAGTCTCAGCTGACTGTTGCCGCAGCAGGTTCTGGTTGAACAGCCGCTACTTTATAACAGCGACCACAAAGTGTTTGATGCTCCGCAAAAGAACCAACTTGTGGTGTGTAATTCCAACATCTTTCACATTTCACGCCTCGTGCACGTGACACCCCAATCCAAACTCTATCGCTTCCTTGAACAAGATACTCACCAGTGTATGGAATAGTCTCACTAATCTCATCCTCCACGTACTTCAGCATCTCCACCTGTACATTTCCATATAAATGACTGAGGGGAAGAATAGTTTGAACATGTGAAAGTTTAAGCTAAGGAAAATAGAAAAAAGTGACTAGACAACTCGTTCTGAACTTGCAGAAACTAATTGACTTGATAAAAAGAAAAAAAGGAAATCAAATAATCAATCCAGATAATAGTCTGACAACCCAAGTTCCTGTATCAGGCAGTGAGGAAGAATAACAGTTTGAAGTAGTGGCCACCAAACCCAAACTTTCACCTTCTAAGAGAACCCTTACCTCTCGAGTGAGAAAGGTTGTGTCAGATAGTGAATTAGAAACTGGGTTTGGTGGTCTCTACATGTAATTGTGGATTGACGAATTGAACTACTCTGGAAACAGTGACAGTAAATTGAAAAGAAGGCAATGAACATACCTGAGAAGTAATGAATATGCGATGCAATGCATCAGCGTGACATTTCATGTAATCTTGAAGCGAAGCTGACATCAGAAGTATGTAGATGAACCTTCGCTTCCAAACTGGACCCAATCAACTTGCGCGAGCGAGCAACCTCCAGAACTTTGTTCACCTCGGTCCTCAGCTGGTCAAATCATTTCAAGTCAGAAGCAACTAAATTATGATCAACAAAATTCAGAAACTTTGAACTGTTGAATGAAACAACAGTGCACCATTGCCTCTTGAAAAATAATGCACAATAACCATCTCATGGACTCATCAGCAATGGTTTGATATTACGTGCATGTAATTGCCAGACGTGCAGCCATTCAATTCATTAGACATAAATCCAAGTATCAAATGGCATAGCAATTATACCCAACATTCATCGGACAACTTGTAACCATAATGGAACATTCAAATAACAATTATTTATTCGCTACACAAGAATCAGGAAGGGGAAGGGGGCATTATTTTTTAGTGGTGGTAACATTGGTGTTGATGGGTGGCTGAGGGGACAGCAGTGGTGAGTGGGTGGTAGGTGACAATGGTGATGATGATGGTGGATAATGGTGCTAGTATGCTCAGGATGATGATGATAATGTGGCCACAGTAGCAGCAGGTGGGAGGCTTGGAAGTGCCAAGCCCTCCGCCCCAAAAACATTTCTTCTCCAGCACCATCATTGGCAGGTGGTGATGATGGAATTGATTCTAGTGGATAGTCTCTGTCACAGCCTTAGGTACAAGGACGCATCAATGAGTCATTGCTCGGCAATGGCAGCACGCTGGTGGTGCAGAGACAGTATGCATGGGCAATGTAGATTTCAATCGCGAGAATAACAACTGTATGCAAATAGCAGGTTCATGCTTTGCGCCACACTAGACTTTCTAAGGTATTTTGGGTTGCACGTGAGGGCTGACAACATGGAAAATCAATATGGACAGTTTGTTTGTTAGGTGATAGACTAAGGAAGTTGCTTGTTTGTAGTTATAAGGCAATTATGAAATAATTAATTGTTTTTGAAATCTGCTATTCAGAGTTACTGAAACTATCTAGGAGTAGTTTTTTTTGTAACTTCCATTGTATGTTGATATATTACATAGAGTCTAAATGTGCATAGCATGCATACCAAATTATGCATATCACATACACATTGTTGTTGTGTATTCCTTTGTTGATGGATTAATAAAAACTAGGTTGGTTCTCATACATTGCTTGTGTTGTTATTGTGCTGTGTTTGATCAATTGCTTTTGTTCTTGTTCTTGGGTGATGAAATTGATAAGGGCTTGTGGGGAAAACCTTTAAGCATACAAAACACTTAGATTTTAGACAAATATGAGTAACTTGAAAGGAAAGCTGAGTCCAGTAACGGGACTAGACTATCATACTGGGATTAAGATTGTGACAAATTTTATCCCTGTGACAGTCACCATGATGCAAATAATGGCATGCGGGGTAGTTTTTCCAGGTATCTGATTCTGAACACCACTAAGATAAGCAAAATGATCAAGTTATTTCTTGTTAATCACAAAATGATGCAAATTTTGAAGAAAAATTATTCAGAGAACATCTTCGAGTAGTACCTTTTCTTTCTAGTTTGAGATAAATTAGAAAATGAAAAACTTAAATTTGAAGATCATTTCAAAAGCATGAATTTGAACACAACATACCACATACAGTTTTTATGTTATCATTACATGAAATGAGCGACTACCTCAAGGATTTTTCCCCATAAGTCAATTTCTTCAAAAGGAAAAGCAAGCCATTTTTCAATGGGCATTGGCCATTTCGATTCAAAAACAAACTCGGCAGCAGGACCATCTTCAACAGTGAAAGGGAAGATTCTGCCATACATAAACTCGGCAGCAGGACCATCTGCAACAGTGAAAGGGAAGATTCTGCCATACATCTTCAGCCAAATGAGATAAATTACCCTCGCAGTGGAAAGGAGAAGTGCAGCTAGAACTGTTTGACAACTTGTCCTTGTAAAACTTGTTGCGCCCCTGAAAATCATTTGCTTAGCTGTATATGTAGAAAAATTTCACAATGACCTGGATTTGCAGTTAATACATGCATCACATGATGAAGCACTTAGAAAAACATGTGGTGATGGGGAGTGGAGTAAGACTTTTCTAAACATTTTGTGTGTGTGTGTGTGTGTTTGTTTTTTTTTTTGTTGCAAATTTTGAGTTATTAAAACCCTTAATATTAAAATTTTTACTACTTACTCGAAGCCTCGAGTGATAAATCCAAATCAAATAATAAAATACTACTCTACAAATTCTTATTTTCTTATTGATTAGTACTTAAAAGTGTATATCTACAAATTCTTATTTCCTTATTGATTAGTACTTAAAAGTTTATTTTTATTCAATTAGATGCATCTACAACAGCTCATGTTTCCATCCTTGCATGCATTGAAAAGGTCCTCGCTTGTTGCCTTTATCAAGATCACAAGAGACTTCCTGTTGTACAACCTTCACACAGTCTCTGCTCTGAGCTTCATCTGGGAAC